TTCTTTTTCTTTTTCTTTTTCTTTTTCTTTTTCTTTTTCTTTTTCTTTTTCTTTTTCTTTTTCTTTTTCTTTTTCTTTTTCTTTTTCTTTTTCTTTTTCTTTTTCTTTTTCTTTTTCTTTTTCTTTTTCTTTTTCTTTTTCTTTTTCTTTTTCTTTTTCTTTTTCTTTTTCTTTTTCTTTTTCTTTTTCTTTTTCTTTTTCTTTTTCTTTTTCTTTTTCTTTTTCTTTTTCTTTTTCTTTTTCTTTTTCTTTTTCTTTTTTCCTTTTCTTCTTTTTCTTTTCCTTTTTCTTTTACTTTTCTCTTCATTTTCGTTATTCTTATTCTTTTCACTTTCCATTTTATTACGTGAATCTCAGCAATTACCAGGCCCTGGATCCTTCAGAGCTTTTGGCGACATGCAAACGGTGGCCCTCGAGCGTCTCCCTCGGCTTGAGGGACGGCATTTCCCCGAAAATCGTGAGGAAATTACTGTAAAAAACATTAAACTGCTATGAAATAAAATAGCAGCGGTCCTGACAGCTGCCACCAGCACCGCTTCACTGTGCCGGGACGGAGGGCTCCCCAGGGCTGCCCTCTCACCCCACTGCCTTCCCCAGCGTCTGCCCTGAGCCGTGCAGGGGTGCGGGACGTGTTCCCCGTCACCCACCCCCGAGGGGGCGGGCGGGGGGGCTGGGGCTGACTCTCCCTTCTCTCCAGGGGGGTCCTACGTGGTGGAGCAGGAGGAGAACAAGAGGACGAGGACGGCGTACACCCGGGCGCAGCTGCTGGAGCTGGAGAAGGAGTTTCTCTTCAACAAGTACATCTCTAGGCCGCGGCGGGTGGAGCTGGCCGTCATGTTGAACTTGACCGAGAGGCACATCAAGATCTGGTTCCAGAACCGGCGGATGAAGTGGAAGAAGGAAGAGGACAAAAAGCGAGGTGCGGGCAACAGCAACGACCCAGAGCAAGACTGTGTGGTGTCCTCCGGGGAGCTGCAGGGCAAGGAGGATCTCCAGCCGTGCCCCCCCGGGAACCTGCCCTCGGGGGCCTCCAGGGACCTGCTCGCCCCCAGAAGGCAGCAGGACTCTCGGTGAGCCCGTGAGGACCCCCGGACCGGGGAAGAGGATGGGGGCGGGGAGAGGACCGGGG